ATGCCACAAAACAGGAACTGCTTTTGAGAGCATGAAGGGCCCAAGCTTTGGGAAGGTGACCTGGCAACAGTAATCAAGAACTTTAAAAAACATTAACAAGTTTCAATCTAGTAAGTCTATTTGTCGGATCCTATCCTCAGAGTGCAATCCTACATATGGAAAAAACTTCCTGCACGAAGACATTTATTGGAAATGGAAACAACCTCAGTGTTCAATAACAGGAGAACTGTTAAATAAACCATGTGACTATAAAAAATAGGCTAACAAAGACCACGCTATAAAATGGAAAATAGTTGTGCTTCACTGCTACAGTAAAACCAGGCTTTAAAACTGTATATATGGCCTAACGATCATGGTGCCATCTCATAATTTTTCAAGGTCCTACTCAAGTGAATGCCAAATGAGAGAAACAACCCAGGCATAGTAAAAAAGAACTGCCAGGAAATAGCATCAAAATATTACAAGTGATTGTTTTTCTTCCCCACTGTCATCTACAGTATCATGTTTTCTTTAACAGGCATGTGCTACGTTACTTTTATCCTCATGGACATAAAGCAATGCTTTACATCCTTCCTATGAATCAAAAGGAAACACTTCATTCTTTTTCTTTTTTGGCTTCTTTTTTAAATTTTTTAAACCAAGCAGTGGTTATGGAAGGAAACACCTCTTTGTGTAGGGCATGTACTGCCATCATGGATCTCTAAAGTCACTTTGATATTCTAACAACACTGCATGTTGCATACATGTTAGATAACCTCCACTTTGGATTCTTTTCTCCAAGAACTTATTTTCTCTTCACAACTCCCTCAAGTTTCCAAGCCTAAAGAAATTCCATCCGTTCTCTCTGCACCCACTTTCCTTGCTTTGCTCCTAGACTTGTTCCCACCTTTCTTCTGCAGAGCGTAGACAATGCCTCAGGCACACTGTTCCCAATCTCAGAGCCCTGAGCCCCTGCTACCTCTAGCTTCTTGGGACTCCAACACCCAGCACAAGGTTCTGCAGGCAGCCACACATTCTGCTCCAGTACTTCTCAAGTTGAAGGCAGAGAATAAGGGAAGTTTAGGGAAGCTTGGAGCCATGGAGAAAAGGTGGAGACATGTAGGAAATCTAACACAAGGCCTTTTTGTGTAACAGTAGTTTGTGTGTACTGAAGATTCCAGTTTCTAGGATTTGGCAAATTGGGAGCCTCAGTTTCCTGTTTTAGGGCATATATCTGCTGAATGAATAAATGAATTAGGCTTTCCATCATCCTGCAATGACAGCTGATCAGTGCTAGAAGTGGTAGCTTGGTGAGGGGGTGGAGAGTGGGAAGAGCTTGGTCATTTAGTACCAAAATAAGCCCTGAGACTAAGACATGCGATGACCCTGTCACATTGCTAGTCAAAGTGTGGCCTGTGGAGGGGCAGCATTATCATCACCTGGGAACTTGTTAGAAATGTAGACCTACTTCAGAGCTATTGGATCAGAATCTGCATTTTAACAAGTTCTCTAATGATACTATACCCATGTTCAAGTTTGAGAAGCACTGCCTCAGAACACACACGTGTGCGCACACACACACACCAATATCACTAAGACAAAAAAGTGATTCCACTCTTGCACACTTCACCAAACCATCAAGACATTTAGTGATTCTTCACCACAGGGGCTGCCCTTGATTTTGGCCTTCCTCCGAAGTACTTCAAAGAATAGACTCCATGTAATTTACTCCAGGCCTCACCTTCACTTTACACAGATGGAGCCCATCACCTTTGGACAGTAGTGGGTGGGATTAAACCCTACTGCCCTTGAGCACCATCACCAGTTATAAAGAGCAGAGAAACAACCAAAAAGACAACACAAGGGGGAAAGCCCTCTCAAAATGTAATTTGACCAAGTAAAGGCAATACCACTCACAATGATTTATAAAAACTGTTTACCAGATGTAGGTTATTACCAAGGGTGCAATAATGATTAAGGAAATCATTTAATGTGCAGTTGATTGCTTTGTAAAGGCTTATTTGAGTACATGACCCATAGTGAAGGATAAACTCTGTACTTCTGCCTTCAAATCTCCAAGATGGACATGTAAGTAGGTTGACTGCTCAGAGCTTGGGAAAAAAGGGGGCTTTTTACTCTTAAATCTACACTATAGTTAAGGTAAAAGAGAGAAAAGATCTTTAAGCACTGCTGGGAGTGTGAAGGGGCTTGCCATGGGCACCAGATTCTACTCATTTTTCTAGATCCAACTGAAGTGTCCCATCCTCTGAGAAGTTCCTCCAGAAGCCATCACTCCCTATTCTGCTTCTCATGGCACTTTCTCTTGTATTATTATTTTTTATTTTTATTTTGTTAGAGACAAAGTCTCATTATGCTGCCCAGGCTGGAGTGCAGTGGTTAGTCACAGCTGCAATTACATTATAGCACATTACAGCCTCAAACTTCTGGGCCCAAGCAATCCTTCTGCCTCAACCTCCTGAGTAGCTGGAACTACAAGCATGTACCACTGTGTCATGGCACTTGGTTTAGACTTATATTACAGCTCTTAGGGAGGTAGAATGTATCCATTAGGATCCCAGACTTTGCAGCCTAACTACATCAGTCAAAATTTCCCCTCTGCCTATTATTAGCTATGTGACCTTAACCAAATGACCTTCTTCCACCAGCTGGAAGATGCAGAAACCAATATCACGGAATTTTTGTAAAGATTACACGAGACAACACATATAAAGCATTACAATGTTTGGCACATAATAAATAATCAATGTTAGCTATTATTATTACCACTCCCAGCTATTATTATTATTAGGCTTCCCCACTAGACCATGAGCAAACTGTTTATCCAAGGATCTGTGTGGCATGGGAACTTACAAATGGTAGACACACAATAATATGTGTCAAATTGGTTTGAAGGTATGCCAGGAAGAGGAAAGGGAGGGTGCTGGAAAAAACCGTAGTGTACTTTATGATTTTTCCCAGGGCCAACTTCTGTAGTGTTTGTTTTTATTTCATTACCAGAGTACATTATCTCAGACAGCAAGGTTACTATAAAGTAGGGCTAGAAAGACACTATTTATGGAACCAGATACTCTGTTCAGAGAAAGTAAAGTTGGCTATGAGGCACCTGAAATCTCCAGTTTGGCCCTTGGCTGAGCGGGGAGTGGGGGCTGAAGTTCAGCCAGAGCTTCACTTGCCCAACAGGGTGCCCTGGCATGGGGTTACATTATCTCTGAAAATCATCCACCCAGACGGGTGCATTTTGTTTTTCAGTGTATCCACATAGAGGGACGTCTTTACAGATTGTGCAAAAGATCTATATGTACCAGTGGAGAACCCTACTGCAAACTCAAAGGTCCCCCTTTTAAACCAGCCTCCTGAGTCTCAAATGAGCATCGGCTAAAATAATAATGCTTCACTCACTAAATATTTATTGAGTTCCCATTAAGGAGCTCAAGGTGCTAACAGCTGACAAGGACCTTTTGGACTTGCACAAGAGCCTGGTGTGTACCACCCTCTAAGGAAAGCTTGGGATGTTCTTTGACATGGACACCAAATTGAAGAACCTGTCCCAGGGGCTGATGAATGTGGCTGCCAAGCTGGCCCACAATAAGCACATCACAGGACCTCCCAGACCTCATGGAGGAGTTCACTGAACCTGACACCTTCACCATTGGCTGCTGAATCACATGTGCTCTTCCTGAATCAGTACTCAGCATCTGTCCACTTCCTGCATGGCGTCTGGCCCTCTATGACTGCTATATGGTCACCCTCTGTGGCTGCCTCCTGTACCCCTATCATGACTGAGGCCCCTCTCCCACCACTCTGCCCACACTGATGAGAAAGTTGCCATAAGTTGAGAGACTAAAAATAAAATTGCACTAGACACTGCAGATCTAAAGGTGAATACATAAATTACAATTGGGGAGAGACAGAAGGTAATGCAGAGGGCAGGAGTGTGGACAAGTATGATGAGTGCCACCTTAGGCATAACTGATGAGGTACTATAGAAGTATCCAAGATGGGGGCTAATCTAGACTTGAAGGATTAGAGAAGGCTTAAAGGGGAATAACACCCAATATGAGACTTCAAGGAGTGATAGCAAATGTTAATATTTATTTAGCGATACTATACATCAGGCGCTGTTCTAAAAACTTTGCATGAATCCTTCATTCAGTCCTTACCACAATCCTATAAGATAGATGTTATTGTTATTATTTTCATGTTATAGATGATGAAACTGAGGCACACAGTAAATGGTGGAGCTGAAATTCAAACCCAGGCAGCTCAGCTCCAGACTAAAGGGGAAGGAGAGCACCGGATAGGCCCTTAAAACAGGAGACAGCGCCTAGCTACAGTCTGAGGAAAGATGCAGTTCCTCTGGGGAACTGAAAGTAACTCAATGAGGCGCAGCTTGGGGTGGGGACAGATGTTCAGAGATGACTGGGCCTGCTCTGTAGGTTGGAAGAAAAACCAGAAGCAGAGGGTTTCAGATCCAGTCCAGACCTTTTTTTTTTTTTTTTTTGAGACAGTGTCTCACTCTGTCTCCCAGGCTGGACTGCAGTGGTGCAATCTCAGCTCACTGAAACCTCCACCTCCCAGGTTCAGGTGATTCCCCTTCCTCAGCTCCCCAAGTGGCTGGGACCACAGGTGCACACCACCATGCCTGGCTAATTTTAGTATTTTTAGTAGAGACAGGGTTTCACCATGTTGGCCAGGCTGGTCTCGAATTCCTGACCTCAGGTGATCCGCCTACCTCAGCTCCCAAAGTGCTGGGATTACAGGTGCCAGCCACCACACTCAGCCCCCCAGTCCAGACTTTTGACAACTAGCTGTGACTGGTGTTACCTAACTAACCCCTTCTGACTTCAGTTTCTCCCTTTTGTAAAAGATCATAATAACAATACCTGCTTCTCCTAGAGAATGGCCATGAGCATCAAATGATGAAAATGTATGTGAACTTGAGTACAAAGTACAAATTCCTTCACAGACTTAAGACTTTATCAGTATCATTGCCCCAGTAGGTTCAAGGATTTGCAAACCTGAAATCCACAATGTCAGGGCACCAGAAAAAGCAGAGAAACAGTATTGGGGAGTGGAAAAGCCCACCAGCCCTGCCTCAGACCACCTCCATCCACACTCGGCCCTTACTAACTGTGAGATCTCAAGGTGAGTTATCCTCTCAGTACCTCAATTTTGCCATCTGGAAAATGGGAATGACAATGATAGCACTTGTAAGGTTCATGTGACAAGTAAGTAGCACATGTAATATGCTAGGTACAGCTCCCAATACAGAATAAAGACTTAGTCAACATCAACAGCTATCATTATTGTTAAGTATTAAGAAATCTGTTGCCTACTTATGCTATTCTTCCATGTTCTATATGGTATAAGCATGTGGGAATGTTAGAAGTTAGAGATGATAAAGGAGGAGGAGAAGGAGATTTACAACCCTACACTCCCTCACTGCTGCAGAGATTCTTCCTGGCTCTCACACGCTGGCAAGCAGCTGGCTCTCCGTCCTGGCAGAAAATGCCCAAAAGAGGTAAAAGATAGAGACTGCACACCATCTGTGCAAACCAGGCTGCTCTTGTAGTTTTTAGACAAAATCTAAATGTAGTCAGATATGACCTGCCCTTTTAAGATAGAATTATTCTATTTCCTCCCTCCACCCCTCCCCGTCCCCCACTCTGTCCCTCACACAAAACTCCCCCACATATCTCAAGAAACTTTCAGCATTTTGAAAGACATACTCTGGGGTCCCGTTGTGACAGCCTTGTGCCACATTAACTTCTCTGTCTTGTTCGCAGCAAAGAAGTCTTTGCTAATTTCACAACAGGAAAGCATGCAAGAAATTCGAGAACAAAACAAATCTACACGCAGAGCCCAGCATCTTCAAGTAAACTCCCCGAGGTACAGACCCGAGGGTAGATGAGTCCGGACTGCAGATGAGGCAGCTGCCTCTTAAACTGCAAGGGGACAGAAAAAGTCATTTGCCTCTGAAAAACCAACTCTGAATACAAATTGGTAATGAATATTCATGAGCCCCTCCAGCTTGCTCTAGAGCCACCCTTGACTGCTACCCTGGACTGTGCTTCCTAAAAAGTTTCCCAAAGCTCTTTCTCTGCCTCCTCTCAGAAGGAAGAGGGTGGGAAAGTTCATTCAGGGCTTTTTGCCTCCAACTTTCAAGTACTTGCTTTTTGCTCTGGCTTTTATTTTTCCTTTTTTTTTTTTTTTTTAAGGTTTCAGATCAAATCAATTTTGGTCTTACCCTTTGTATCTTCCATAAGTAGCAGCTTTTGTTTTCCTCCTCTTTCCTCGTGTTTCCCCCCCCGCCTCTGCTTGCTGTGGTCCGTCTCCGTGAGAGAGGTACTCAAGGAAACAGAGATATAACAGACCCTAAGGCTCGTGGGAGGGGCTAAATTAGCCGGCCCCGTTTCGGAAGGAACCTCAAACCCTGTCTCTTTCATTGACTAGAAAGGACAGATTGACTGAGGAGTCCAGCAGCTCATTTTCCTCAAGTTACTCGAAGCCTTTTCCAGGTTGTAATTTTTTGTATCCTTGAAGCAATGTATGTTCAAATCTCTCTCTCTTTCTCTCTTCTTCCCTCTCGCCCTTACTCCCTCCCTCTTCATCTCTCTCTCCCTCTCTTTGTTATAGAAATCTCGTTTTCTCCCTTGAAAAAGTCATCTCGGCTGCAAGCAAAAAAAGCTATTTCCTTACTGCAATTATGAAGCTAGATAATAAGAAAGTTGTTACCTTGAAACCTACTCGAAAAACTGAAAGTCAAGAACAATTCTTCCCTCCCCATAAAGCCTCTGGTCCCATGACCAGCAATCCTTTCTCAAGGCTCATTAGAGCAAAGGCTAACAGGTGACCCAAGCGATGAGTTTCCTGCAGGAGAAGCTGCGTTATTGGTTGGAAGGCTGGGTGGAACCACAGAGGAGCTGCTCAATGGGAACCGCTGCCTGGCTGTGAATTGATGAAAGTCATCCACCATTTCACAACTTTCACTTCCTACCTTTGAAGTCTAATGAGCATGAATTGCCACATCCAGACTATCAAGATTACCCCAATGTAGATGAGAACCTGAGCAAATTATTTTTAAACTGTGTAACAAAATTATTTTGAAATCAAAACAAGGGCTACCCTTTGAAAGGAAGGTAAGTCTTCAAGTCCCAAGGCGACTTGGCAGTTTCTCCCTCCACAAGGCTGTTGCAAACCTTAGCATTTCAGGTTTGAAAGATACCTCAGACATCGAGTCTAAACGAGGTTAGAGATGTGGAGAGGTTAAGCCACCTGCTCATGCTCACACACGGTCTCTCCTATTTGCTACCATGCTCCCCAGCACCTAATACAGTTTCTCTCACAGCATGGGCTCTCAATAAATATTTGATGAATGGTTGAAAAAGTGAATGAATTGCAGCAAAGCAGAAACGTAGATCTGTTTTCCTGTTTCCTAGTTCTTGCTTTTTCTACATTGCGTGTCTGGCATGAAAATTTGTATCTAAAGCCAATTATACCATATAAATCATTAAATTTGTGAGCCCTAAGGATTGTTTTGACTCTATGTAGAAACTATATTCTCCAGCGAACTTTCAGTCATACTTTAATAATGATGAAGGATAACCTTTTAGTTTAGGCATCTGTTACTTTGCACGGTGCCACATGGTATATACTTAATACATTTTTATACTTTAATAAATTTGGAGCTGTATAACAACCCTTTCTTTATTTCTGAAATGCTTTATAGTTATAGGATTTTGCATGTGTAATAACAACTAATTATATTGAATGAAAGACTCAATGGATGCCTTCTCTCGAGCCAGTTTAGACTACATCTCTAAAATGAATATTGGTCTGATATTCATCCTGTTATGATAAAATTGGTTTTGGGTGATATGATGGGATTTTTTGTAAAAACCAACAATATAATCGGTTTATGACTGACTGCCTTTGTACTATTGTTTTGGAGAGAAATTTGAAAAGAGCATGTCCACAAAATATTCTGCGAATTACAGAATGGAAACCGAAACCTCAAAGCCAGAAAGAGAAAAGAATGATCAAAGGGAAGATCCAGAGGCTGAGGGGTAGGCAGGAGAGACAGACAGACAAGTACCTGAACTTGTCAATGAGAGACACACTTTGGTGGGTGCTGTGGTAACAGTTCTCTACTTTATTACATTAGGACATTAGGTTCTTTTTTTTTCTGAGACAAGAGTTTTGCTCTTATTTCCCAGGCTGGAGTGCAATGGAGCAATCTCAGCTCACTGCACCCTCTGCCTCCCGGGTTCAAGTGATTCTCCTGCCTCAGCCTCCCAAGTACCTGGAATTACAGACGCCCACCACCTTGCCCAGCTAATTTGTGTATTTTTAGTAGAGATGGGGTTTCACCATGTTGGTCAGGCTGGTTTCGAACTCCTGACCTCAGGTGATCCCGCCCGCCTCAGCCTCCCAAAGTGCTGGGATTACAGGCGTGAGCCACCGCGCCCCGCCTATTTTACTACATTCTTACATTATTTCTTTGAGACAGAGCCTCACTCTGTCACCCAGGCTGGAGTGCAGTGGCGTGATCTCGGATCACTGCAGGCTCTACCTCCTAGGTTCAAGTGATTCTTGTGCCTCAGCCTCCCGAGTAGCTGGGATTATAGGTGTGCACCGTTAAGCCCGGCTAATTTTTGTATTTTTAGTAGAGTTTGGGTTTCACCATGTTGTCCAGGCTGGTCTCAAACTCCTGGCCTCAAGTGATCCACTTGCCTTGGCCTCCCAAAGTGCTAGGATTACAGGTGTGAGCCACAGTGCCTGGCCACAGTTCTCTATTTTAAACAAAATTAAAATTCAAGGTCACTTCAATCATGTTCTATCAGACGTTGTCGACAACAGGTTACTTTGACAATTGACTCATTCTCTTTACATTTCATCAGGGAGAGAAAGAGTTAGTAAAAAGTAAATTGTTCTAGTACCCAACTTCTGGTTTAACCAGGAGAGGTAAAATCTCATTATAATAACTAGCACTTCATAAATATTTGAAGTTCATCCAAACTGAATATGGAGTAATAGAAACATAGTTTTAACCCCTAACTCATATTACATGAGCCTTTTGACAATATTTAATGCTTTTTATAGGTAATATGCTCTGTGCTACAATTTAATCATGTTGTCCAGGTTCGCACCCTCCTCAGCATCAAGAAAATACTATGGTTAAGTATATATTATCACCAATTCATACAAGAATAATTATAAAAGAGATGGGAGTTTGTGTGTATCTTTCTAAAGGCCTCAGAATTTATCTTAAAAAATAAATCTTCTTTCTCAACAAAAAATTATCATCATTGTCAATTTTGTTGTTTTTTGTAATCGAAAGTAGAAAATTTAAACTGCACTCAGAAAGATGGTGGAAGTTGTTAGAAAGGGGTAAAGATATTTGTCTGTCTTTTAATGATGAAATGGTCTTATAAGTTCTTAGAATAGTAGAATTTTCATTTTTCCTACACCTTTATCCTCTTTCACTGTACTGGTTCATCCGCCTTGCATATAAAATATTTAAGTAATTCTCATTCTTAAAAACAAATTCTGTTGTTTAATGGTATAGATTATTAGTGTTGCAAGATGAATAAGTTCTTGAGATTAGCAGCTCAACAATGTGAATGTACGTAAAAATACTTAAGTGTACAATTAAAAATGATTAATATGGGCCAGGTGCATTGGCCTTCCCTGTAACCCCAGCATTTTGGGAGGCTAAAGCAGTAGGTTGTCTTGATGCCTGGAGTTTGAGACCAGCCTAGGCAACATAACGAGACTCCATCTCTACAAAAATAAAAATAAATTTTAAATGATTAATATGGTAACTTTTTTTTTTGAGACAGAGTTTTGTTCTTGTTGCCCAGGCTAGAGTGCAATGGCAACCCCCGCCTCCCGGGTGCAAGCGGTTATTCTGCCTCAGCCTCCCGAATAGCTGGGATTGCAGGCATGTGCCACCACACCCAGCTAATTTTGTGTTTTTAGTAGACAGGGTTTCTCCATGTTGGTCAGGTGGCTGGTCTTGAACTCCTGACCTCAGGGGATCCGCCCACCTTGGCCTCCCAAAGTGCTGGGATTACAGGCATGAGCCCCCAGGCCTGGCAATATAGTAACTTTTATGTCTATTTATCACAATTTTTAAAAAATTCATTAAAACAAAAACAGCTCCTTCACAAACAAGCTACTTGAGACCATGGTCTACCTTTGCCTTACCTTCATCACCTCCATTCTCTCCTCATTCATTTATTCCTCCTTCCATTGCATTCCCGTTTCTCACCGCACGACCCCAATGAAACTGCCCTAAGATTGCCAATGGCCTCTAAAGTAAAGACCAATTTGTGTTTTATCTTCTTGGATCTCTGTAGCATGGGCCATTGTTGGCCTTCCTTCTTTCTTGAAAATTGATCTCTCCTTATTTTCCAGAACCCCCCTCATGTCAGTTTTTCCTCCTCCATCTGTGTACGATGGCTCCTTTTCAGTCAACTTTTGTGTCTCGTAAATGTTGGTATTCCCTAGACCTTCACCCTTTGCCTTCTCTCCCTACTTCACTTATTCTACCTAGGTCATAACTTCTCATGCCTTTACATTTCTGCCAAATCCACTCCCATGAGCTCTAGATCTATATTTCCATCCACCTACTGGGTGTCAAGAGAATATCCCACAAGCAGCTCAAACTTAGCATCCAAACTGTACTCTGTATCTTTACTTCCAAATCTGCTTCCATCGAGTACCAGTATTCCCTCCTTTTTTTTTTTTTTTTTTTTGAGACGGAGTCTCACTCTGTCACCCAGGCTGGAGTGCAGTGGCACAATCTTGGCTCACTGCAACCTCTGCCTCCCAGGTTCAAGCAATTCTTGTGCCTCAGCCTCCCGAGTAGCTGGGATTGCAGGTGCACACCACCATGCCTGGCTAATTTTGTGTTAGGAAAGACAGGGTTTCGCCATGTTGTCCAGCCTAGTCTTGAACTCCTGACCTCAGGTGATAGGCCGCCTCGGCCTCCCAAAGTCCTGGGATTACAGGCATGAGCCACTGCGCCCGACCCCTACATTAGATAATGGCACCACCATCCACCTAGTCATGCAACCCAGCAACCTCAGGGTCCTCCTAGGCCCCTCCCCACATCCCACATCTTAATGTTTGCCAAATCCTATTGTTTCTACACCTTTAGACCTCTCAAATTCACCTCCTCTCTCCATTCCCATCACTTCTGCCATAGTGCATACTCTCCTCATCTTTCTGAAATCAATATCTGATCATGTCATTGGCAGACTTTAAAAATTCTAGTCTCCTTATCATGCATAAAATAAAATTTAAATTCCTGTCATAGAATATGTAAGGACTCTCTCTACCTCTCTAAACTCATTTCCTGTTATAGGCTTCCTGCACTCCAAAAACTGAATCTAATTCTAGAACCCATAATCCTTGTACAACTCTGAATTTTTGTTTTGAGATGGAGTCTCGCTCTGTCGCCCAGGGTGGAGTCCAGTGGCACTATCTTGGCTCACTGCAACCTCTGCCTTCCAGGTTCAAGCAATTCTCATGCCTCACTCTCCCAAGGAGCTAGGACTACAGGCACATGCCCCTATGGCAGGCTAATTTTTGTATTTTTAGTGGAGACGGGGTTTCACCATATTGGCCAGGCTGGTCTCGAACCCCTGACCTCGTGATCTGCCTGCCTCAGCCTCCCAAAGTGCTGGGATTACACGCGTGAGCCACTGCACCTGGCCACAACTCTAAATGTATACAAGCTATTACACTGCTCAGAATGCTCTTTCCCCTCTTATCCACCTGGTCCTCCTATGTATCTTTCATGACTCAAATATCTGGTCCCCTGTGTTAGGCTGTTTTTGCATTGCAATAAAGAAATACCTGAGACTGGGTAATTTTTTATAAAGAGAGGTAATGGCTCTGCAGTCTGTACAAGAAGCATGGCACCAGCATCTGCTTCTGCTGAGGACCTCAGGAAACTTAGAATCATGTCAGAAGGTGAAGGGGGAGCTGGTACATCACATAGCAAGAGAGGGAGCACAAGAGAGAAAGGGGAGGTGCTAGACTGTTTTAAACAACCAGATTTCAAATGAACTCATTTTCACCAAGTCATTCATGAGGGATCTGCCCCCAGGACCCAAACACCTCCCACCAGGTCCCACCTCCAACATTAGGGATCACATTTCAACATGAAATTTGGAAGTGACAGATATCCAAACCACATCATCCCCTATGAAGTTTTGCCTGACCCATCCTCGCTCCTTTCCCACAGATACACTGTTCTGACCCACAGAAGAGACGCCACTCGTGTTATCATGTTTTATAATTTCATTTACATCTCAGGCCATAAACCTTGGAGTCATATTTGAATCCTCTTTCCTTACAATCCAAGTCCAACCCTTTGGCAAATTCGGCGGGTCCTATCTTCCAGATACATCCAGGACCTGACTCTTCTCATTACTTCTACTGCTACCACACTGATCCAAGCCACATCATCTCTCACCTGTATCCTGTATTATCGTGATAGCCTCCTCACTGGTCTCCTCCCAGATTCTGCTCTTCAAACTCCTCAGCCTATTTTCAACCCAGAACCCATAATAATTCAGTTAAAATTAAACAAAACAAAAGATTATGGAACTCTTTTGCTCAAAACTTATAAAAGGCGCCATCTCACCCCAAGAAAAGCCAAAGTCCTTCCAGCTTCCCACCAGGCCCTGCCTGACCTGCTCCTCATCACCTCTATTTCTTTCCTACTACTGTCCTCTTCTTGCTCCCTCTGCTCCAGCCTCCGAGTCTTTGCACATGCTGTTCTTTCTGCCTGGAATGCTCTCCTCCCGAATATCTACATGGCTCATTCCCTCCTTCCCTATAGGTTTTTAGTAAATTATTACCTTCTATCCCAGCACCAAGATTGCTATTTCTAAATGCTATTTTCTACTAAAATGGTCTAAAGTCCTTTGGAAAAATAGCCAACCAAGTCTGGGGCAGGAAGTATACCAGAAAGCAAGGACACTATCTAAAATTACTAGGGTTGTGTCAAAAGGACTCAGGAGCCAACTTTCAGTGGCTCCTACTGGCCAAAATAGAAAAAAAGAAGAAATTTGAGCAGCAATAAAAAGAATAACTGCGATAGATTGAAATGTATCAGATATATTGAGATCCACATAGTCATAATGATACTATGAAGAAATCACTGTTCACTTTTAGAACCAATTCATTATGGTGAAAACACACAAGGGGAATAATAGCAACACTCAACCTCCCTTTGCTGCACAAACTGTACCCCAGGAGAACCAAATCATTGATGGGGAAAGTCTCTTTAAAGTATTCCAGATAATGAAAGACTAAAATTGGTAGCATTTGGGTATCACCATTTTGCAATACCTCACAAAGGAATGAATATAAACAATAATCATCAATGACTGTTCACATAACAAAAGAGGGTACAAACATTCATTTGGTGCCTTCTGATAGAAGCACACATCACATCCTCTGAAGCTGTCTTCCCAAAAGTGGAAGCTTCTAAACCTAATACCAGCTTATGGGAAAAAGAAAGCATGGATAAACACGTTAAAAAAATACAACAGGAATGCAATCAGTAAAATCCGGTTTGTAGGAGACTAGATTAAAGCAATCAATAAAACAACTCAACTTCTTGAACAAATAAATTGCAGAGAAGAAAAAAAATAATGAGGTACCTATAATTAAAAGAGATTTAAAAAGATATACCAACAAAATTAATACCAGGATCTTGAAATTCTGATTCAAACCAATGTAAAAGAAAAAGAAAATCAAAGAAATTTGAAAATGGACTAGATATTTTATAATATTATAGAACTGTTAACTTTTAAGGTATGATAGTAGTACTGTGGCTGTAATTTTTCCAAAGTCCTTATCTACTGGAGACACACACTGAAATATGTACAGATGAAATCTGGGGTTAGTTTCAAAAAGGGGAGGAATAGGTGAGGTACAGATAAAACAAGATTAGGGATGACATTATAACTGCTGAAGCTGGATGGTATACGGGGATATGTTTTATTATTCTCTCTACTTTCTATGTTTGAAATTTTTTGCAATAAAAGGCAAAAAAGAATCCTGGTGAAAAAGTGGGAGATTATTTGATATGCAGTGGTTATATGGGGTGTTATTACTGGTATTTGAGGAATGTAACTGAATGTTTCCTGAGTCAGTAGACATATGCAAAATGGACTTGGGTAGTTACAAATAATGCTACAATTTGGCAAGATGATCCTCACAAAGTAGGCTATTTCACTTTAGGGGCAAATAGGAAAAAGAAATCATTTGCCAGAAAAGTATAAGTAATTGGACAATAAACTGATCACAGCTAAAAACAAACAAACAAACAAAAAAACTGTTAAATGAGTGTAAGCAAGAAACATATTCACCATGCAATTTGTCTATAGTGTAATAATCAGGGAGCAATATCAAGGTTTCCTTAGATTTCCCTGTGGAACTTAACATTAGGTGTAGAAATCAGGAAGGACCATACACAATGTCCAACATGCAATATGTTGTTGTGGTTTGATAGTTTAAGGCAGGCTCCATAAACCCAACAGTGACCAAGCAGGCACCACATAAATTGGACTAAGTAGTAATGGTAGTTTCTGCATCACTAGGGGCCAGATAGTAGGGACAGGAAGGACGGAGCTAGTCGGATAGCGTGGAAGATGAACATTCTGTTCTCTATATTGTTTCTAATTCTCCATTAAAACAGAAGCCTATTGATAAAACTCATGAGAGGTGGTACTCTGGTTTTACGTATCCTAAAATAAATGCCCAGGGTAACTACTGTATGAAATGATATGTTTTGCCAATTCCAAGAATGCCTGTGTTTATGTATTCAACTTTAGTTATAGATGAATATACAAAGAGGTTCTTCATAACATATGAAAAGTGTTCAAAATATTACGACATTTGAACATTTTGATTTGAATCAAAATATTATGATTGCTCATGGTCAATTTCAAGGTTAAAAGGAGACTGTAAAAGAATGGATTTTTATAATTGAGATGCCATAGATATGGTAAATCACAATACTTCAAAAATTTGGGGGTAAAATGTTACATGTTATATGGCAATTAACAAATCTAATCTCGGGAATTCAAAATTATTTTCCTACCAGCAAGAAATCCATGCCCCATCTTTTTTATGATGCCTATAAACCAAGATAATAAGTCAGTACTATTTGGTGTTGGTGAATGCATATTCAACGAACCAAAGTTGTCAACAAATTTAGAAAACCGTATCAAATTTTCCTGACACTACTTGACATTGTGCTTTGACAGTCTATCAGTACTACACATACATGTTTTATCAAAAGAGAAATACTGATTACATTAATTCAGTTGAATTTGTATTTCTCTACTATCAATAACAACTTCTCTCCTCACTCCGTCTGCTTACTTACAGATATCCAGAGATGAAGAGGACCCTGTGGTGGGCAGAAGGAGCAGAGAAAAAGGGATGTATCTGAAAGTGTTTCAAGAGTATTTAGAATGCACCCTTGTTCAAAAAATGCCCCGTCCCTTCTTGTGGAGAGTAATAGGAGAGGCAATGCCTCTTTAGTCAGAGTCATGGTTCTCCACTTTGGCTGCACACTATAATCACTTGGCCCAATTATAAAAAATACTAATGCCCATCCCAACTCTCAGAGATTGGAATTTAATTGAGTTTGGGGTAGGTTTCAGACATTTTTTTTAAAAGGCCAAGATTATTTTAGAGTGCCGTCAGGGCATTAAGAAGATCTGGATTCAATTCTTTTTGTATGATCTTAGACAAGTTAGTGAGCCCTTCTGAACCCCAATGTATCCATAAAATAAAGGTTTTTTTTTTTTTTAAATCTACTTCACAGAGCCATGTTGAGGGGAAAAAAGAGAATAAATACATGAGAACTCCCAACACAGACTCTGGCACATAGGTGGCACTCAGTAAGTGTGAGTTCCCTTCCTCTTCACTATGCGCTAATCTATGTTCAGATTAAACAAAACGTTGCCTTTTGTACTTGTGTCTCTTGCTTTTTCCCCCTCTGATATCTTCCACTTATTTTTCAGAAGTAACCTAAGGGTACTTGAAGGAAATGAGAGTCAAAGTCCTTTCCCTTCTGTAGCACAAAGGGCCTCTCCACCCCTTTTCCCAAAGTTAAGTGATTCTATGTATTCAACTAGCAACTGTGGGACTGAGGCCATGTTGGGAGAGGGACTGAAGTATGACCTGACATCACCCATGTCTTCCCATTTCCAGGTAGTCAGGGAGGAATGCCCTAACTGAGCTTGGGGAAGCCCTTGAATGTTGGAGAATGGCCAACTCTTCCAAAGTGAAAGTATACAACCCAACATGGCAGCAGGAGAAGGTAAGCCTAGAGTACACAGCACAGCAGCTTCAAGCAGAGCAGACACTCAGTGAGAGTTTGCTGAACTGAAATGAAGATCCTATGCTACAGCAAGTATCTAACCCAGCTCTAGTACTCAATGAAGTCAGTGCTGTGTAGGCATTACCTTAATTTTTTTAGCTATAACTACTACTTCTCTCTTGCCTTGCATGAGTGGATTCTCTTACATAAATGTTCTTTTGAAATATCCCCTTTAACTCCTTTATCCTACTCCCCACATCAAGTGCCTCAATTTGTCTAAATGTCTCAAAGGTCTGCAAAGATAATAAGTGACTGTCACTTCATCAAAAATGGTAAGATTGGCCAGGTGCAGTGGCTCAAATCTGTAATCCCAGCACTTTGGGAGGCCAATTCAGGAGGATTGCTTGAGGCCAGGAGAGCAGCCTGGACAACATAATGGATCTCATCTTTAAAAATTGAAAATTAAAAAATTAGCTGGGCATGGTGGCTCATGTCTATATCCCATCTACTCAGGAGGCTGAGGCAAGAGGATCACTTGAGCCCAGGAGTTCAAGGCTGCAGTGAGCTATGATTGTGCCACTGCACTCCAACCCAAAAGACTCTATTTCTAAAAAAAAAGAAAAAAAAAGTAAGATGTTATTGCTACTTCAAAACACAAACCCAAATCTGTGAATTGCCAAGTATAATTGATAAAAGCTATAATTTCTTTAAGGTCAAAAATACTCATTTTCAAACAAAGTACTCATTATCTAAGAAAGACCAATCAATTTATTAGAGCTCCAAACCTAAAAATATTTTTAAAACTTTAAATTTTTTAAAAAACTGCTAAATTTAAAGAGACACAATAAATAGATGAGTGATTACCAAAGATTCATCAGGGTAGGGAAAGGTTGAATAGGTAAAGCAGAGGGGATTTTTTTGAGTGATAAAGTTTTTCAGTATGATACTGTAATAGTGGATACATGACAATACGCATTTGTCAAAATCTATAGAATTTTAAATCACAAAGAACAAACCTTAACCCATACAAAGTTTTCAAAAATTATTCAGGAAGTCAAGGGAGCCCAGAATGAAATGTAAATTGCGACAAAATAATGGAACTGTATTATGAATGTGTGAAACACCTCACAGAGGGAAGTAGAGGAAAAGGGTGCTAAGGGTGCTAACCTAGTCACTTTTTTTTTTTTTTTCTTTGAGACAGAGTCTCACTCTGTCACAGAGGCTGGAGTTCAGTAGCATGATCTTGGCTCACTGCAACCTCTGCCTCCCTGGTTCAAGCAATTCTTGTGCCTCAGTCTCGCAAGTAGCACACCACCACGCCTGGCTAGTTTTTGTATTTTTAGTCAAGATGGGGTTTCACCATGTTGGTCAGGCTGGTCTTGAACTCCTGGCCTCAAGCAATCCACCTGCCTTGGCCTCCCAAAGTGCTAGGATTACAGGCATGAGTCCCCACTCCTGGCCCTAAGTCACTTTAGATGTGAGTAAAGTCTGTAAGACCAGAGGCAAAAGGAACTATATGAAAGTACATTACACTGTTTCCCAAGATTCATAATTCTGAAACCACTATACATGTATACTGGAATCAGAAAATTACATAAATGGATGACAGACAATAAGAGTCAGGCTTCTCACTGTTGGAGTGGAAGGTTATAGAGAAGTAAGGGGAAATGGCTAGAATGATCCATGTGGTAATGGAGTAAGGTTACAGATATCAGTATGAACTCCGGTTTACCTTAATAGGGACACATATGAATAAATGTAGAACTACTTATCGTTGTGCATATATATATATATATATATATATATATATATGTATGTGGTTTAAAATACATCTATATTTTCTTGCTCTGTCAGCTGAGTAGGCCTATAAGCAATGATACTCCAGTAGCAATAAGCACATCTAACCCCCAGATTTTTGTTTCTATAACCATTCTCCAATAAAAGGAACCAGAATTCCCCTGATAAACAGCCGACTCTAGGCTGGGGACAGGAAATATTACAAGGTAATCCTAGAGTATCTTGTGGCGCCAGAAAGTAAGAAAGTAATTAAGAAAAAAAAAAAGCTTACAATGATGTACAAGGATGGGGTGTGTCAAAGTGACACAGGAGCCAATAGAGCTTCCAATAGCCAAAGTTAAAATAATTTGAACAATAAAATAGAATCGTATTCAATGATAATCAAAGTATAAAATAAATATCTATGAGTCTATACTGAAATAGACTATTAAGACTATTAGTGTATTTATGAAATAGAATATTTAACAAATGAATTATTAAATAAACAAATGGGAGAGAATAGACAAATCCATACAGAAGAATTTCAAATGAGTTACATAAATACTCCACTCTCTAGGAGGTAAAGCATAACTCCCCACTCCTTAAGTATGGCCTGCCTAGTGACTTCTTTCCAAAGAGTTCAGCAGAGAAAAAGAGTAAGAAAGGGTGACTTTACAGTGGAAAAACCTGACAAACACTACCTCAGCAAGGCCATCTAGATCAACATCAACAGTAATAAATCATGTTGATAACTCATATCCTTGGTATGATGTGATGAAAATGGCATTCTGTGGTCTTCCTCCAAAAAGTACATAACTCGAGTCTAATCATGAGAAATATATCAGACAAATTCCAATTGAAGGACATTATACAAAATTTCTTACCAGTATTTCTCAAAGCTGCTAAGGTCATCAAAAATAAAGTCTGAGAAATTCTCACAGCCAAGAGGAGCCTAAGGAGTCATGAAGATTAAATGCAATTTGAAATCTTGGGACAGAAAAGAACATTGGGTAAAAACTAAAGAAATCTGAATAAAGTATGGACTTTAGTTGATATTAAGGTATCAATATTGGTTCATTTATTGTATTAAATGTACCACACTAATATAGGATGTTAATAATCAGGGAACTGGGTAGAGAGTACCTGGTAACTTTCTGTACTATCTTCGTAACTTTTCTGTAAATTGAAAACTATTCTATAATTAAAAGTTTATTTTTAAAAATATGTTAACAGTGTATAGATATTTAACTGCAGCTGTTGTGAAGCCCATCTTTGTTAAAGTAACTACTTTAATGACATGACATGATTTTGCAAAAGCATTTGTTACACATGATTTCTTGTTCAAACAGAATTCATTGCGTCCACATCCAGCAAAGCAAAGTTAACTCAGGCTGTGTGCCAAGACACGGAAATGGCCTTGTTACACTGAACTCAATGTGAAAACATAGTAGTATTCAAATCTTTCCATCCACGACACGCAATATTCCCATTGGTCTAAAAAAAAAAAAAAAAAAAAAACAGAAGAAGAAGAAGAAAAAGAAAAAGAAAGTCTCTAAGTTGATTTTCTAGTATCTTAAAAAGTTTCCAAATACATGTCACTGGGGAGAAGTCAGCAACTCCCCGGGGGGAGGGCAGGAAGGAGTACCGACTGCTGGTTGCAGCACTTGAAAAAAAATAACAAAAGGAAGGAAAAGGCCTAGGCTTCTCCAGACGGGGTTACCCTTATTTGGGAACATCGCCAGATAACTTAAAGTAGCTCTGAGAGGCAGAAAAGCTGGTGTTGAGCAAAATTTACCACACTGACCAACTTAAGTGCCCCAGAATTGTATTAATACTTGCCAAGCAATCAAGACTCCAAACAGCATAAATCTCTTTGTTCCACTTTTGGACCTTGCTGTTCCTAAGAGTCAGTGGAAAGTTTTGAAGAACACATGGCCCTTAGACTGATGCCGATGACCTTATCAGCATGGCCCACACGCCCAGCTTTTGAGGACAATAATATCCCACAATACCAGACCAGTCTATAGCAGGAAGCTCCTATGTTGCTGTTAACGCCTCCGCCTTTGCAGAGATCAGCCAGAGGTGACAAATCTTTGAGGTAATGCCAAAATCAGGCCTCCTGTTCTCCTTTACATTAGGCCCTTCATCCTCTGGGGGCCAGTAAAGTCTGAAGAAATAGGAGAACAGAAAAAGATAATAGTAATAGTAATTTTCACACTTTTGAGATCATTACTTAGCCTAAGATGATTCTCTCAGCTCATCCTGCAGGGTCTGGCTCAAACCTTAAATCTTTCAAGTCTTCCAGCTAACTCTCTCTCCTCCAAATTCTAAGAGCCTTTCATAAGTGCCCAGCAACATGGGAATTGCTTAATGCCTCACACTGCTGACTTTTCATATTGTATGTTTCTTACAGGCATACTCCACTTGCTTGTGCTCGGCTATATTGTGTTTCACAGACATTGCAGTCTTTACAAATTGAAAGTTTGTAGCAACCCTGCATTGAACAAGTCCGTCACTGCTATTATTGCAGTACCATGTGTTCACTTCATGTCTCTGTAGCACATCTTGGTAATTCTTGCAATATTTAAAAATTTTCATTATTATTATACTTCTTATGATGATCTGGGATCAGTGATGTTTCATATTAAAATTGTAACTGTTTTGGGGCACCATGAACCATGCCCATATAAGATGGTGAACTTAATTGATAACTGCTGTTTGTGGTCTGATTGTTCCACTTCCTGGCTGTCCCACTATCTCCCCCTCTCCTTGGGCTTCCCTATTCCTTGAGACACAATATATTGAAATTAGGCCAATTAATAACCTTACAAGGGACTATAAGTGTTCAAGTAAAAGGAAAAGTCACACATCTCTCACTGGAAATCAAAAGCTAGAAATGATTAAGCTTAGCAAGGAAGGCATGTCGAAAGCTGAGATAGGTGAAAAGCTAAGCTGCTTGCAGAAAACAGCCAAATTGTGAATGCAAAGAAAAAGTTCTTTTAAAAAAGTAAACACACTACTCCAGTGAACACACAAATGATAAGAAAGAGAAACAGCCTTATTACTGATATGGAGAAAGTCTGAGTGTTCTGGATAGAATATCAAACCAGTCACAACATTCCCTTGAGCCAAAACCTAATCCAGAGCAGCACCTTTACTCTCTTCAGTTCTGTGAAGGCTGAGAGAGGTGAGGAAGCTGCAGAAGAAAAGTCAGAAGCCAGCAG